AATTTTGCATTTGCGGAACCTTAAATTGCTATTAAACCATTATTCACGTGTCTCGATAATAAAAATGAGTAATCCTCATAACATCTTAAAAGCATTATTAAATCTGACATCAGACAAATTATACTATAATTCACTGTCTTCAATCAGTTCTAATAAAGAACAGATTGCATTAAATCTATATATATAAATATTTGGATTATATTCGGGAAAGAACATCTCACATATTTGAAACCGAAACGACATTGAATCATGATGACGAATTAGATAATCAATATTTAGAAGACCTCTTACCATCAGTATTCACACGCTATCATCTTTGTGAGTGTTAGTGTATGAAATGCAGATAGTTTCTCTTCTCTACGCTTGCACACCTGCATCTGCATTCTAGGTGCTCAACGTATGATAAAATATATCTGGCTCAAAATTTCCTTTGAAAATTGATCTGGATTCGTTGTAGAATGTTAAACATGCTTGTTTCACGTTTCAAATAGATATATGTTACAAAAAAAGTTGTTTTGATGAACTGATAATTCTTGGTTCTTCTTGAAACGAGAACGGTGATTCACTTTGTCTTTTTGAACTGTTATTATCATGAGACTAATCAATCATTTTCTTAATCCTTTATTCTATTTTACTTTCTTAGTAAGCGTAAAAGCTAGCTAAAAATCTTCAATTTTATACCACAGATAACGATGCGTAAGATTAGTTTGTAAACTGCCAATTCGTGAACATGTTCCTTTATTGAGATATGGATACTGCGACGAATTCTTTTGGAGTCTGTTTCTATGCTGTGAGTTCTAAGAATGATAAATCTATGAGCTCAAACGAAGGGTATCTAGGAATATGATATTCGGATTATTATGCTTACCAGTACATGGCAAGTAGTACTTGCCAGTAAGAGGATGTTGCTAAGTTTTCTTTTTGCCTGAAAGAAAGCCAGTTGCATGAATATTACAATTTTTTTATAAAGATTGATCATATGTTTTTACCAAAGAAGAGGCTCATAAGGAAGACAACTCAGCAGACTTCGAAATTCTCAAAAGAACTACATATTTCGATGCACAACGAGACGAAAAATATTTGATATCATATTGTAACTATTTGAGAAATGACTCAATAGCTTCTGATACAGATTGCCGCATCATATTGTTACTGCATCCAGGCGACTGTATAGTAACAATTAGTTTGTCAAAGCATCTCTTCGATTGTCTATAAATAGTCTCATTTGAAAGCATAGAAAATTTTGCACAAATTCTTAGATGAATGATCCAGAAATAGTAAACATAAGCTGAATTTATGGTGAGTCAACAGTCTTTCTATCGATATTTTGGGTATCTCATGAAGGTTCAGACTTCTCAATTGCTTTCGAAGTTGTTTTACCATGGACTGCCATCATCAGTATTTTGATGCAATATTTGACAGGCTACATGTTGGTATAGTTTTCTTCTAGTTATTTTATTAGTTAACATTTTTTAAGGGTTGATATTGCCTAAAACTGCAACTAGATGTACTGCCGCTTCAGAAGAATATGATATTTAGATTATCAAAACAAACACGGACTATGTGGTTTTCTGTAATGGATCTAAGATGATTAATGAAGGTTTGTCATCCGTGTTATTATTATGTCCACAAGAAAATTGTACCAGCATGTAATCCGTCAAAAGCTATATGAAATTCTGATGAGGACAGTCTATGGTAAAGCTATATCCAACCAATTAAGAAACCTGAGCCCTCATGACATATCCAAAATATCGATAGAAACAGTATTAGTTTACTGTAAACTCAGTTTATGTGTATTATTTCTGGATAATTCATATAAGAATTTGTTTAGAATTTGTTGCTCTTTCAAATGAAGCTATTGATCAGAAGGGAAACAAAGTTTTTGACAGACTCATTCTAACTCAACACTCATCTGGGATGCAGTAAAAATATGGTATATTAGTCTGCGTCGAAAGCCATTGAAGCACTTTCCAAATAGTTTGCATGTGGCATCAAACGATACTAGCAATTGTGAGAAACCATGAATGCGTTCCATTACTTCAACCCAAGAAAAAATTGATCAAACTTCAAATGCACAGTCTTTTCGCAAAATAGGCTTTCTTGGAGCAGAAAATTCAACTGACAATTTTCCATTACTCGATTAGATGACTTGTTGTTATCAGTAACTTGCTTCGTCAGTTTTCTGATTAAATGCAAAACGCTTATTAATTACCGGCAAGTACTACTTGCCACTTAGTGGAACATACTTTTTAGGAAAGTAGAAACTATCAAAGAGCTATACAGGCCATATTATAACAATCGAGTATGACCAGACAAAAGAAAGTCATAGATCGCGATATTCAACATCATAAATGAATCATCACTTAATTCATCAGGTGACGACTGTTAGTAAACGCTCATTATCCCACTCATTGTGTAATCTCAAATACTCGTAGAAAGACTTGTTATATTCTAATTATTGTTGTTCATTAACAATGTGCGATTTTCATGACGCGGTAGCAGGAGTATTGCAACACAGAGGTACTGGCATTCGTTTGAGTTTGAAGCGATTTATAACTTGCGTCATTATATTATTATTGTAGCTAATGATGTGTCCTCGAAGAATCAATAAGATAGAAACGAATATGGTTTTGAACTTATAGTTAGGATCAGTTCATATTTCGTTTTGACATGATGTTAGCTGCTGTCTCTGTTCTTCCTCAATTTCTATGTGTTTTGCGAAAGAATTCTCAAAAAAATGAAAGAGAACGCACATTAAGTAGTCTGACTGATGAACTTCATAAGATTCAAGGAAGTTCTATCGAAAAGTACTGATTTTCACCTTGACCAAATCATTGTAGTTGATCAGTCTTTACTTCTTTATTCTTGTGTTATTTAGTCCCAAAATGTCAGCTTAATTTTAAAGCAACATCTGGAAATTCAATTAACTATAAATATGACCCACGAGCTGTTGCCATGGGCGATTTTAACAACGATACTTGGCTAGATATTGCTGTTGCTAATTATGCTGCTGACAATATAGCTATATATTTTGGATGTGGCAATGGTACTGTGGCAAGACCAATCATGTTTTCAATTGGTTATGGCTCTGCACCATACATGATTGCTATTGATGATTTCGACAACGATCAGCGACTCGATGTCGCCGTTGCAAATTTCGGCACAAATAGCGTTGGTGTATTTCTTGGATTTCAAAATGGATCTTTTGCGAACAAAACAGTTCTATCAACTGAATCATCTCGTCCTATTTGGATCCATGTAGCAGATCTCAACAACGACACAGCACTAGACATTGTCACTGCCAATTACGGCACACACAGTGTGAGTGTATTTTATGGATATGGAAATGGTAGCTTTTCCAACTCAGACACGTACTCAACGGGCTATGATTCTTTTCCATCCGCGGTTTTTAGTGGCGATTTCAATAATGATCAACAGATGGATCTTGCTATCGCCAATTATGGCACAAACAACGTCGGTCTCATGCTTGCGACTAGTAACGGCACTTTTGCAAGGCAAAGCACGTTTTCAACTGGCCCGAATTCCCATCCATACTCGCTTGTCGTTGGTCATTTAAACGAAGATACCAATCTAGATATTGCCGTCGCTAACCATGGAAATAACAGTGTAGGTGTACTTCTAGGTCACGGCAACGGAACTTTTATGAGCCAAATGACATATTTCCTCAGTGCTGTTTCTCCATATTCCATCGGCATTGGTGACTTCAACAACGACAATCGAATGGATTTAGTCGTAACCAATAATGGTACTAGCAATATAGCTCTACTTGCCGGATATGGCAAAGGTACCTTTGCAAGTCCGAAAATGTATTCAACTGGATCTACTTCGTCCATCTTCGTTGCCGTAGGTGATTTAAACAGCGATAATCATTCAGACATCGTCGTCATCAATAATGATACGAGCACCCTAGGTATCATGCTTGGTTATGACGAGCTTTTTCCAATTCGAGCAACATATTCAACTAGCATTGGACCATACTTTGTAGCCGTTGGTGATTTTAACAACGACGTCCATCTGGATATCGTCGTCACTAATTTGAAGAACAACATTATAAGTATACTTATCGGATATGGCAATGGTTCCTTTGCAAATCAAACAACATATTCAACTGGTCTTGGACCATACTCTGAAGCTGTTTGTGACTTTAACAACGACAACCGACTGGATGTTGTCGTCGCTAATTATTACGATAAAACCATAAGTATTCTTCTTGGATATGGGAATGGTTCTTTAGCAAATCAACGGACGTATTCAACAGGCACTTCTCCCAACTCTGTAGCTGTTGGTGATTTTAACAACGACACCCATCTGGATATCGTCGTCGCCAATACCGATGACAATACTATAAGTGTACTTCTCGGATATGGAAATGGCTCTTTTGCAGATCAAACAACATTTTCAACTGGCTCTAGCCCAGGCACTGTAGCTGTTAGTGACTTTAACAAGGATACCCGACTGGACATCCTCGTTTGTAATTTTGGCGGCAACACGGTGAGTGTACTTCTTGGATATGGCAATGGATCTTTTGCAAATCAAACGACACATTCAACTGGTAGGTCTCCCAACTCTGTAGCTGTTGGTGATTTTAACAACGACACCCATCTGGATTTCGTCGTCGTCAATTTGAATGACCACACTGTAAGTGTACTTCTCGGATATGGCAATGGTTCTTTTGCAAATCAAACAACATATTCAACTGGCTCTGCCCCACAAGCTGTAGCTGTTGGTGATTTTAACAATGACACTCGACAGGATATTGTCATCGCCAATTTCGTTGACAACACTGTAAGTGTACTTCTCGGATATGGCAATGGATCTTTTGCAAATCAAACAACATATTCAACTGGCTCGGGCCCACAAGCTGTTGCTGTTGGTGATTTTAACAAAGACACTCGACCGGATATTGTCGTCGCTAATCTTAATGACAACACTTTAAGTGTACTACTTCTGGATGGCAGAGGAGCTCTGGAAGATAAAATCACATTTGCGCCGACCGATGGTTCTCGTTTGCGAAATTTTGCCATTTTTGATTTCAATAACGATAGCCTATTGGATATCGTCGTTGTCAATTATGGTACTAATAACATAGGTATCCTTCATGGATATGGGAGTGGCAGTTTTGGAAAACAAATGTTACTTTCAACAGGTTCAAATTCCCATCCTTATTCAATCGCTATCCATGATTTCAACAGAGACGGTCAAGCAGATATAACCGTGGCCAATTATGGTACTAAAAATCTTGTTACGTTTCTGGGAAGTGGAAATGGAACATTTGAAAATCAAGGACGTTACGGTATAAATTTTGATTTTGCTCCACTGATGATTGGTGCTGGTAGTTTCAACAAAGATGGGCGTTCAGAAATTTTCATTGCATATGATGGCATCGATTATGTAGATTTGCTTGTTACATACGACATTGGATCTTTCAGTAATGCCATTATATATTCAACTGGGAATGTGCCCAGATCTGTAACCGTTGGTGATTTTAATAACGACAACCATCTGGATATTGTCATCGCTAACAGGGTTGACAACACTGTAAGTGTACTTCTCGGATATGGAAATGGCTCTTTTGCAAATCAAATAAGATATTCAACTGGCACTCATCCATACTCTGTAGCTGTTGGTGATTTTAATAACGACGACCGACAGGATATCCTCACCGCTAATGTTGATAACAACACTGTAAGTGTACTTCTCGGATATGGAAATGGCTCTTTTGAAAAACAAACGACATTTTCAAGTGGCACTTGGCCAGTCTCTGTAACTGTTGGTGATTTTAACATCGATACCAATCTGGACATCGTCGTTGCTAATAATAAGGACAATACTGTAAGTGTACTTCTCGGATATGGCGATGGCTCTTTTGCAAACCAAAGGATATATTCAGTTGGCTCTGGCTCAATTGCTGTAGCTGTTGGTGACTTTAACAAAGACACCCATCTGGATATCGTCGTTGCTAATACGAATGACAACACTATTAGTGTACTTCTCGGATATGGCAATGGCTCTTTTGCAGATCAAACGATATATTCAACTGGCTCTGGACCATGGTCTGTAGCTGTTGGTGATTTTAACATCGACACTCATCTGGACATCGTCGTCGCTAATTATAATGATAATACTGTAAGTGTACTTCTCGGATATGGCGATGGCTCTTTTGCAAATCAAACAAAATATTTAACTGGCTCTGGACCAACATCCGTAGCTCTTGGTGATTTTAACAACGACAACCAACTAGATATCGTCATCGCTAATTGGAATGACAACACTATAAGTGTCCTTCTTGGATTTGGCAATGGCTTTTTTGCAAATAAAATAACCTATTCAACTGGTAGTACCCCTTCATTTTTAGTTGTTGGCGAGTTTAATAAGGATACCCGATTGGATATCGTCGTCGCTTATGTGAATGGAGCAAGTGTTGGTGTATTTCTCGGATATCCGAATGAAGGTTTTCTAAACCATATGAGACTCATAACTGGCAATGGATATCGCCCCAAGTCATTCGCCATTGGCGATTTTAACAATGACGATCAAATGGATGTAGCAGTTGCAAATTCCGGCGGTAACAACGTCGGTGTTTTTCTGAGATATGACAATGGTTCTTTCGGAAATCAAATAACATATGCAACTGATTCTTCTCCATGGTCAATAGCTGTTGGTGATTGCAACAACGATACCATACTTGATATTGTCGTCGTGAATCTTGGCAGTGACAATGTTGGTCTATTTCTTGGATGGGGTAATGGTTCCTTTTCAAGCCAGAAAACGTTTACGACCGGTTTTAGCTCTCAAACGAATGCGGTTGCTGTTGGCGATTTCAACAACGACAAATTGCTAGACATTATTGTTGCTAATTATGGCACAAACAACATAGGTGTGTTGCATGGTTATGGGAATGGTTCCTTCTCAAGTGTTAAGTTTTTTTCAATCAGTTATGGATCTCTTCCATTCTCAATTTCCGTTGCTGATTTAGACAATGATGGAAAATTGGATTTCGCTGTCGCCAACGAAGGTTTTGATAATTTACAAACTTTCTTACAGACCTGCTAATACTGCCACCGCTCTCTTGATTTTTTTATTGTTCGACTCTTTATAACTTCTAATTAGTGCTACTAATATTTCTTCTAACTGTTTTTGGGTGTGGATGTGTTGAAAATTAATAAATTTTATATAAAGAAAAGAAATATCATGTGAAGATACCAAAATGTGTTTCAATTTGGCAAAGATATCTCGTCAGGTGTAGGACATGGGTATGTCAAGCACACCATCATGTCTTTTGAACCTGCTCTGGTGTCTCATCAAATGATTGTATGTGGGTCTGTGGGTGGGATGTGAATGTGGGTGTGGGGAAGCTACCACGACGCGTTTTGACTGTTACTCAGACAGTCTCGTCAGATTGCTTAGAATCTCTAGGTCGATTACAATTTTTGAATAGAAACAATTCGAAAAGAATCAATTCCAGACAAATTACACTATTCTACTCGCAAGAGTGTAAGTAAATCAATGCGAAACAGATCGACTTATATTTCTAGAATACAAATCAATCTGCTAGTCTCAACTTTTGCTTTTCAGCAACCGATTCGCTCTATCCATTATAATAAAAAACGAAGTAGATGTGCTCGAATTAGAATTAATTAAAAACAAATACAAAGTTAATTTTTGCCGACGACTTTCGTGTTATTGATTAAAATAATGAAACACTCATGAGGGCTCTGCCTTAAAATTGATAAGCAAAAATTAAAAGCAAAATATAAATCAAGTTTAAAATAAAATAGAAAGGGGCAAAATTTCAAAAGAACAAATATTAAAAAGCCAAGTAAAATCTACACTAAATTTTAAAAACAAAATTAATAAATATTGAAAATACAAAATAAATTTTAAAGAATAATACATTTTGATAAATTTTGAATAGTTAGTTTTGAAGAGTAATAATAATAATGAACTTTGAATAGATTTTTATTGAAATTGAATAATAGTAGTAATTAATTTTGAATAATAACAAATTTTAAATAATTACAATAAACTTTGGATAATAATATTAAACTCTTTAAATGATACTAGTAAAATTTTGAATAAGGCTGTGGGTGTTAGTGTGAGTGCAAAGATGATCAATACTCATAGTCATATCTACATCCACACTCACTCACCCACACCCACACCCACACCCGATTTATTGTAGGATGCTGAGGAGTCTATTTTCATAAATCAAATAAATAAATAGATAAATTGAGCGATATAATGTAATTCAGCAAAATAAATATTAATGCAGTAAAATAGAGAGTGTACCAACAAATGTATTTTTTCATTTATTCAAAATCAAGAAAAAATCTACGACAGATTAAGTTGGATATGTTATTGATGCTTAAGAGGTATTGGACTAGTATTCGAAAATGTTCTTAGTTGCGCTGTTATTCGTTTAAGTGATTTCATCTGATGATGACTTTAAAATAAAGTCAAAAATTCATGAATTTCCATAATAGATGTGTTTTTCTTCATTGTGAATAAATCAAAACAAAATACATTTGTTGGTACACTCTCTATTTTACTGCATTAATATTTATTTTGCTGAATTACATTATATCGCTCAATTATCTATTTATTTATTTGATTTATGAAAATAGACTCCTCAGCATCCTACAGTAAATCGGATTTTTCCCTACCAAAATTCCGTTGTCTTTCAAATTTCAATTGAAATTCGGAATCAGCATTGAATTCCGCGTCTGATAATGCTAGATTTATAAAAATTGGAGAGAAAAAATTCTTCGATGATCCTGAGGTCCCGTACAGGTGCCCAATGAACCGTGAAAAGTTAAAGTCGTCTTTTTGACAGCAAAAAGTACATCACTTTACTCAGAATTTAATGCTGATTCCGAATATGTAATTATTTTCTTAAAAATATTTTGGACAAAAAAATGGCCTTATCGATACTTGTCCTGTATAAAGTCATACTAAACCATAGAAATACTCGTCATAGGATTCGCTCCATTCAAAGTTGTGATAATCGAACACTATTTATAATCTAAAGTACGTTAAAATTCCATTTCAGAAATTTTGAAACGAAAGTCTATTAATGACGAAATAAGATCTAACAATGCCGTAACAGTTATTTTAGATACTTTTTACTCTTGGCCACAGTTTGGATTACCGAGTCGGTATCCAAAAAAATTAATCGAACTGCCTCCGTCGAACTTGAAAATGTTCCTTCTAGTCTGTTCACTTTAAAAAGTGGAACACCTCAAAATTCGCCTCTTTCACCACTGCTATATATACTTCACACTAGTGGTTCTATGAACGAAATTCCTTCCCATAAAGAACTTAATCTCTCTGCGGACGATACAGCTCTTTTGACATCATCTAACACGACATCTAACCTTTTGAACTGTTTATAACAATCTCTAAATGAATTCGAACGATGATGTACAGGATGGAAACTGAAGTTGCAACCACTAAAAATGGGAATGATTCACTTCAGTCATTATCCAAGAAAGAAGTATAAAAACACAATCACAGTCAAAGTCGGCAACATTAGCATTACAACACAAGATTCAGTACGTTATCTAGGCATGACTCTTGATCGAAAACTGGATTGGAAAAGTCATATAAAACATATTGAGACTAAAGCTGCCACACATATCGGTCGTCTTCGATTTTTATCGAGATCAGCACTCAACTCAAACGATCAACATATGTTAAATATCTTCAAAGCTCTTATTAGAGCCATCCTCACAGATGAATGTCTGATTCCTCTCACTGCAACTGATAAGATCTGGGAACGTTTACAAATCATCCAGAACAAAGCCATTCGTGATGCATTAGAAGTATCTTCACATACTTTCGTTCAATACAGACACCAGTATGGCAACATTCCAAGAATCAAACAGTACTCAAACACTCTTCTAAAACAAAGCAATTGTAAGAGCACAAACAAACAATGAACAACTGCTCCAAACGATCCTCAGAGACATTCGTGAAGAAATATAAAATCTATAACTAAAACTATTTATTCCTATTATTTTTTATCTTGTCCACTATGCTCGAGACACATGACTTTTAAGTCATATATCTTTCCGTTGTCATCTTCAATCTTTAATGCTCTTTCTACTTTGATAAATAAAGATCTTGAAACCTTTATCCAAAAAAAAAAAAATTTAATCAACGGAACCAAGATCAGATTTACCGAAACTACGATTGAAATCAATGGAAACAAAAGTTACCGGGATCGGGACTGAATAAACTTGCCTCCACACATCTCTACTCTTGGACTAATAGCAACAATCAACAATTGATGCGTTTTACTCAACAAAAAACAATGACAATGATCGAACAGAACTGGCTGTTTTGCAGCATCAACTTGTTTTTCTTCTTAAAAATAAAATCGATTTGACAAATGCATTATCTCCCCATTCTCACTGTGCGTCTTTGCACTAATCGTAGCAATAAATGCGAAAAAGTCAGTATGTCAGTTGCAGCATTTCTTGTTCAGGTCATTGTTGCATAAAGCTCTTATTATCTACTGTTGTTACGATTGGTATTAACCCATGAGATTATACGTCGTCTTTATTACATATATTTGGATAATATTTATTTGACCAATAAGAATACTGGAATGGGCAATAATTAAAATATGATTTAGCAATATTTTTCTGAGCTATAAAGAAATTTTATTTGAGTAATTTTATATTATTAAATGTACAATAATTAATTCATTAAGTAGCAGTAGTAATTTCATATTTTAGCAATAAAACAAAGACAAACTACATTATTTTATATGCATTAGAAAAATAAAACAGTTATTTACAATAGAAAAATAATAATAAAAATGAAAAAAACAGTCTATTATTGTGTGAATAAAGCTTTTTTTTTGGTTTAGATAGTCTGCCCATTTTTCTTGTTATATTTTATTTTGTAAAATTGAAAAACTACGTATTTGTATATATAAATGAATTCATATTGCCCTTTGTTAACGGGTGATTGATCTAATAGATCAATACTGAATTACTACTTTATTGCAGAAATAATAACTATATATATATATGAATGAGCTAGGAAAAACCAAACACCCTAGAAAGAAAATATGACAAAGCAAGGAATATACCTGAACAGCATCAAGAGAAGAGAAATATTCAAGTAAGGGAAAGGAAAGAAGAGAGAAAGAAAACAAAAGATATATGTATATATCGGAGTTGATTTTAAAATTCGGTTCCGTTTTAAAGGCGACCAGTTGAATTTAAAAGGCAGCTAGTTGATTTTGAAATATTTTAAAGTCAACTCCGACATATATATGTCGTATTTGTTATCTGTACGACATCGTAGAAGAGAAGAAAGGAAAAAGAAGATATATAAGCGAGTCACACTGTAACACCCCTTTTATATAAAATTTACCTTTAATTTAAATAAATTATTGCTCATTCAGTATAATTATTGCTAATTTTCATTATTGCTCATTTAAGTTTTTTTTTTTATTAAGCAATCAAGTCCTATGACCATGCCGGTTCTAAAGGGACACTTTAACTGCACCATACTTTATGATAAGTAGAAAGAAAGACATAATTAAAAGAAAAGACATGATTGAAAAGGAAAATATGATGAAAAAATAAGACGAAATGAAGTAGAAAAAGAAAAGAAGAACGAGAACCAAGCTGAGTACCATTCTCTCCCTCATCCTCTTTTTTTTCTTTTCCTTGACTTTCTGCACATACTTTATTCTTTATCACTGGCATGCTGCCTTTCTCGTCTCTCTCTCTTCTTCTCTCTACTCAGGGGTATCCAAAAGT